AAACGCCTGCGCAGCGCGAAGCCAGAAAGAGGCACCACAAATAGCAAAATACACAAACACATATGCACACTATGCATGCATGCATGCATGCATGCACGCGTGCATGCATGCATGCATGCGGGATTGCATGCATGCATGCATGCAAATAGACCTGCTGGCAGATAGCCAAGCAGGCAGAGGCAGTGGCAGCGCGTCGACATTCGACGTGCATGCATGCATGCATGCATGCATGCATGCATGCAGGGGCGCCAGCCAGAGATTGCATGCACACTATGCATGCATGCATGCACACCATGCATGCATGCATGCATGCATGCATGCATGCATGCATGCATGCGTTTTGGGGCTGCATGCATGCGTTGTTGGCTCAGGGGCTGCAGTGCGCGCTTCCCTTCGACACCTCTGTGGGGCCCCCCGAGACTGACGGGGTGCATGTGGGGCAGGCAGCAGCAGCAGCAGCAGCAGCAGCAGCAGGTGCTGCTGCTGCTGCTGCTGTGACCTGCAAGGACCCCGACTTCTTGTCCTGCCGAACCAAGTTCCTCAAGCCCCAAGTACCAAACCCTAAACCCTAAACCCTAGCTGTGCCCCTGCGAAGCAGGCAGAGGCAGTGGCAGCGCGTCGACATTCGACGTGCATGCATGCATGCATGCATGCATGCATGCATGCAGGGGCGCCAGCCAGAGATTGCATGCACACTATGCATGCATGCATGCACACCATGCATGCATGCATGCATGCATGCATGCATGCATGCATGCATGCGTTTTGGGGCTGCATGCATGCGTTGTTGGCTCAGGGGCTGCAGTGCGCGCTTCCCTTCGACACCTCTGTGGGGCCCCCCGAGACTGACGGGGTGCATGTGGGGCAGGCAGCAGCAGCAGCAGCAGCAGCAGCAGCAGGTGCTGCTGCTGCTGCTGCTGTGACCTGCAAGGACCCCGACTTCTTGTCCTGCCGAACCAAGTTCCTCAAGCCCCAAGTACCAAACCCTAAACCCTAAACCCTAGCTGTGCCCCTGCCAAACCAAGCACCTCAAACCCCAAACCCTAAACCCTAAACCCTAAACCCTAAACCCTAGCTTTGCCCCCAAAGCGAGAAGTCCAACCCCTCTACCAAAGCCCCTGGCGTCTGCGTGTTGGCCTCGCGCGGCCCAGCCCCAGCCCCAAACCCTAAACCCCAAACCCTAAACCCCAAACCCTAAACCCCAAACCCTAAACCCTAGGCTGCTGCTGCTTCGCAGGCAGCCGTGGCCATCGCTGATGCCCTCAAGATGGACTCTTGCATGATTGTTTGTCGAACTAATCAAGACTGCGATTTGATGGAGAAGTTTCTTTTGAAGTTGGGGGGCGGCAAGAAGTTTTCAGGCGAGGGTTTTGTCTTTTTCTTTTTTTTCTTTTCTTTTTCTTTTCTTTTTCTTTCCTTTTTCTTTTCTTTTTCTTTCCTTTTTCTTTTCTTTCTGTCTTCTTCTTCGGCCTTGTCTCTTTTGTTTCTTTCTTCTCTTTTTCCGCTTTCTAAAAGCTTCTTTCTCTCTTTTTTGGTGCCTGCAACCCTAAACCCTAAACCCTAAACCCTAAACCCTAGGCGCTAAACTGAACGCCACTGCTCCAAACCCTAAACCGCAAAAGCTGCTTCTGCTCGCCAGTCTTCGTTGCATTCCCCCCGGTTTCGATGCAGGGATTCAGGTCAGGGGCTAGGGTTTAGGGTTTAGGGTTTGCTGTCTTCTTTTTTAGGAAAGATGGAATCTGGAAAGGAAAACCCCTACGCATGCGTCGTCGTTGCCGGCATGCGTTCGAACCAAGAGAGATATGCCAATCTTGAGGTGTCTATACACCTCAAAGAGCTGCCTATACACCTCAAAGAGCTGCCTATACGCCTCAAATAGCTGCCTGTACACCTCAAATAGCCTTCTATACACCTCAAATAGCTGCCTATACACCTCAAATAGCTGCCTATACACCCCAGCTGCCTATACACCCAAAATAGCTGCCTATACACCTCAAATAGCTGCCTATACACCTCAAATAGCTGCCTATACACCTCAAATAGCTGCCTATACATGTGCCTGAACTCGGCTTTAGGATTGTAACTCTCTTCTTTCTTTTTGCTTTTTTATAAATCAAATTGAAAAAGAGTTTCATCTTTAGTTCATTTCTGCTGTTGAGGAAATTCGCAGAAATGTTTGAAAAAATATTTGCAAAAATGTTTTATTTTGCAAATAAAAAATAATCGCGCGCAAATGCCTTTATATTTGCGCATTTATATTCACATTCACCCGAATAATAATAACTTCTCAAATGTTAAATTGTTTTTACATTTTAAAATAAAATGAAAAAAGAATTTTAAAAAGTGAAGCTCTGTGGCCTCTTTTTCGGGTGTACGTACAGCACTTCAAAGCGGGAGATGCGCGCTTTTTGATTTGCACAGATGTGGCTGCAAGAGGAATTGACATAAAGGTGATTTAGTTCTTTTATTTAATATAATTTAATTCTTTTTATTCTTTTTATTCTTTTTATTCTTTTTATTCTTTTTATTCTTTTTTCTTTTTATTCTCCCCTTGGGCCTTTCTAGCCCCAAACCCTAAACCCTAAACCCTAGACTCTCGCTCCCTCGCGCAGCGCCGCTCGTGCGAAACTCAAAAGCGCCTCCTGCTTGGGAGTTTAGGGTTTAGGGTTTAGGGTTTAGGGTTTAGGGTTGGGGGTTTGGGGGCTGCGCAGAGCCGCTCCGAAGGCCAGCGCCGAGGGATTAGGGTTTGGGGTTTAGGGTTTAGGGTTTGGGGTTTGCGCAGAATCCCTGTTTCCTGAAAATGCCTGTTTTAGGGTTTAGGGTTCCAAATTCCTGTGCTTCAGGGTTTGCACAAAATATCCTCAGACAGCCACGGCCAGGGGTCCAGGGTTTAGGGTTTAGGGTTTAGGGTTTAGGGTTTAGGGTTTAGGGTTTAGGGTTTGCGCAGAACCTCCCTTTTCTTATAATGCTGACTCTGCCGGATTCGCCCGAACAGTTTTTCCACCGCGTGGGCCGCGTGGGCCGAGCGGAGTGTATGGGGTTGGCGGTTTGCATAGTTTCTACTCACAAGGAGAGGGTTTGGTAAACCCTAAACCCTAAACCCTAAACCCTAAACCCTAAGCTCCAAACCCTAAGTCCTGGGGCCCAATGGCGTGGGCTCTAGGGCCCCTGGGCGTGGGGCGTAGGGCGTGGGGTCTTGGCCCGGGCCTGACTTCGATGCAGCAGTGCTGCCTAAACCCTAAACCCTAAACCCTAAACCCTAAACCCTAGCTGCCCTGGCCGAAACCCTAATGTGCAAGTCCAAGCCCTGGCCGCCAAACCCTAAACCCCAAACCCTTCTGTGCCTCGCGCTGCACTGCAACTCCTTCCTTGACTTCTTGTCTTCATTTAGGGTTTAGGGTTTAGGGTTTAGGGTTTAGGGTTTTGTTTTATTTATTTTGTTGTTTATATTTGTTTTTTTTATTTTCTCTTCAGGTATCACTCTTGCCCTGACAGAGGGAGAGGCTGCACCGACAGGCGGCTTGCCCAAGATGTGGGAACTAAACCCTAAACCCTAAACCCTAAACCCTAAACCCTAAACCCTCGCGCCGGATGAGCCCTGGGCTCTGGCCCGTTTCTGTCCTCCTCGAGACGCCCTTTGTCTCAACTGTCCAGCCCCAAACAGCGTCTAGGGTTTAGGGTTTAGGGTTTAGGGTTTAGGGTTTGGGGTTTTGTGTGCAGGGCGGCTGCACCATTTGGTATGATGAGCCGCAACTTCTGGCAGGTGTGCTGTCGAGGGTTTAGGGTTTAGGGTTTAGGGTTTGGATTTCAGGGATAAGAGCTTCGGGGAGGGGGGCTGCAGCTTGGGGTTTGGGCTTAACTTCAAGGGCTTAGGGTTTAGGGTTTAGGGTTTAGGGTTTAGGGTTTTGTGGCGCTGCAGACGCCCGAAGACAGCGCGGCGCCGCAAAGCAGGCGGAACTTCCGGTGTATGGACAGCACAAAACTGAGCAGGGCAATGCTGCCACCCGCAAGCATCTCCAAGTAGGGTTTAGGGTTTAGGGTTTAGGGTTTAGGGTTTAGGGTTTAGGGTTTGGGGTTTAGCGTTTGTTGCGGTCGGGCGTCCACAGCAGCAGCTGCAGACGCTTTCTAGGGCTTGCAAGGGTTTGTGGGCAGCCGACTTATACGCCCCTCTGCTGCTGCTGCGTCTGCTGCTGCTGCGTCTGCTGCTGCTGCTGCTGCTGCTGCTGCTGCTTCTGCTGCTGCTGCTGCTGCTGCTGCTGCTGCTGCAGGAGATTGCCGCCTCCGTGTCTACCCTGCTGGCTTTAGAGAAGCAGGCGCAGCAGCAGTTTATGATTATGACATCAACCAAGTGGCCATAAGCCTGTAGCAGCTGCTGCAGCTGCTGCTGCTGCTGCTGCAGCAGCTGCTGCCGCTGCTGCTGCTGCAGCTGCTGCTGCTGCAGCTGCTGCTGCTATTTGCCTGCAGCACTAGCAGCCGCTGCCAGCCGCTCTGTTCGCGCTGCCAAGACTTAAACCCTAAACCCTAAACCCTCGTTTCCAAACCCTCATCTCTCAGGCACGCAGGCCAAGCTGCGCCGAGGGGCCCCCCAAGGGGCCCCCTTAGTGAGGGGGGCCCCCCATGGGGCCCCCCTAGTGACGGGGGCCCCCCAGGGGGCCCCTTGGGGGGCCCCTCTTGTGGCTGCAGTGACCCTTTGTATGGGTCCTTTTGTTGCAAAGCTTTCTCAGTGGGGGCCCCCTCAGTTTAAGGGGCCCCCAGAGGGGGCCCCTTAAACTTAGGGGCCCCCATTGGGGGGCCCCCCGTCTTAGGGGCCCCCAGTGGGGGGCCCCACGTGTTAGGGGCCCCCAGTGGGGGCCCCCCAGCTGCAGGGGCCCCTTGCTTAAGGGGCCCTCCAGTAAAGGCTGCCTGGTAGAAAGGGCCCCCAGTAGGGGCCCCCCAGGCGCAGGGGGCCCCCAGAGGGGCCCCCCCAAGGGGCCCCCTAGGGGCCCCCCTGGGTGCCGGGGGCCCCAAAAGGAGGTACGGAAGGGGCCCTTGAAGGGCCCCAGGAGGGGCCCCCAGGGGGGCCCCCAAAAGGGGCCCCCCGGCGGGGCCTTTAAGGGGGGCCCCCCCAGGGGGCCCCAGGAGGGGCCCCCCAAGGGGCCCCCAAAGGGGCCCATAAAAGGGGCCCCTGGAGGGCTCCAACTTGGGCGCATCAGGTTTTGTATGTTGTGGCTCCTCTAAGTGCAGTGTGCTGCTGCTGCTGCTGCTGCTGCTGCTGCTGCTGCTGCTGCTGCCGTCGCCTCTGCTGCTGCTCTGAGCGCTGCTGCTGCTGCTGCTGCTGCTGCGGTGGCTCCGTCTCTATTGCTTCTTCTGTGGGGCCCCCGGCAAGGAGTGCCTCCTCTCAGAGCAGCCTTTGCTGCTCCTCCTAGTAAACCCTAAACCCTAAACCCTAAATCCTACTTGCCTTGCTAGGGTTTGCGCGTGAGCGCCTGCAGCAGTAGAGGCAGCCCCTGCTCTGCGCACCAAACCCTAAACCCTAAACCCTAAACCCTAGCAGCAGCTGTTAGCTGGAGCCTCAGCCCTGAAAGCTGCTTAGACAGAGCCCAGGAGCCGCCCGTGGCCTGGCACAGCCTCCCTAGGGTTTAGGGTTTAGGGTTTAGGGTTTAGGGTTCCGGGAGGACCACTGGAGCCTGTGGCCTGTTTCTTTGCTTCTCCGCCAAACCCTAAACCCTCGAGGCGCGGGTAGGGTTTAGGGTTTAGAGCTGGTTGCTGCTGTGGTCTCAGTTTGCGTCTGTTTCTTGGCTTCTGCGCTAAACCCTAAACCCTAAACCCTGGCGGCGCAGCTGCTGCTGCTGCTGCTGCAGCTACTCAGTCTGCTTCGGGCTGCCTCTTTGCTGCTGCTGCTCTTGTGCTTCTTTTGCTGCTTTTCTACCAGCTGTTTGTGTCTCTTTGCTTCTACTTGTTTGTTGGCTGCGTCTGGGGCTGCCTAGAAGGCTGTTTTGCTGCTAGCTGCTTGGGTGGGCTGGGTGCTGCAGCAGCAGCAGCAGCAGCAGCAGCAGCAGCAGCAGCAGCAGCAGCAGCAGCAGGGCGTTCCGGGGGTCTG